TCTACACATGTGATATTTTATGACCGCTGGGAAACTGATAATTTGGAAATATTTATTTTTAATTGTTGGATTTTCCCAGCGCCTCAATCTCACTCAAAAGTATGTACAAAGTATTTTGTACATTCTCCCGGGCGGCTTAAATGTGTATATTTTTATAGTGGACTGTATTTTTTTTTTTTTTTATAAAATGATTGGCACGAAATATTCAAATATAACAATATGAAATATAATCTATATATAAACATGTATATACTATGTAAAATAATATGAATGTCTCGTTAAGTAACCGCTTTCAGGAAACGACTCCATTTCTTTGCCCAGTCTCTCTTGTCGATACCGCCACCTTTATCTGCCGGCTTCATTGTCCATGCTGCCGATTTGATAGTCCATCGTTGCAGACTGTCATCATCACTGTAGAAAAGTATTGGCAATGGTTTTATGGTAAGTTTCGGTTTGTCGTCTTCTGTTTTAATGGCCATTGACGGTTTGCTATTGATTTCTTTCGGAACCGGAGCCAGAGAAATTTGTTCGGCTTTTCCCACTTCTTCGATGCGTTCTTTTCCGTTAGAATCGTTGTCGTAATAATTATATTCGCCGTAAATGTTGGGGCCTTTTGTGCATAACGGCTTTCCTTCTTTTGTCTCTTCTGCAACAAGATTATTTATTTCTTCTCTTACCAAATGTATATTTAGGTAGTCCCCATTATCAATCTTCTCGTTGTCATCGTAAAAATCCATTCGTTCTTCACCGAGTGCTTCATTGGTGGGGGCGGATTCGACCTCTGAATTTCCTCCATCATCTTGTTCCTCAAATTGAGGACTTGCCGGCGGGAAAAACTTCACAATATTACCTTCTAAGCAGCGAATCTGTTTTAGATTATCAGCATTAAGTCCCTCTCTTAAATTTGTCAGTTGTTTGGGCAGGTCATCTCTCTCAGCTTCGACGACTTGCCGCGCTCCTTCCAAACTAGCTAATTTTTCATTCATATTTTCTAACTTGGTTTCCAGATGTCGCACTTGACCTTTATGAACACGATATTTCTCTTCCAATTCTTCATCCTTGGCCCGCATGTTTTCTTCATGTTGGGCGAGCAGATATTTTTCGTGGGCCTTCGCATTTCTCAATATCCGTTCACTTTTTTCAACTTCGATTTTTATTTGAGAACGCAGTTTGATTACTTGCCCCTGCAGAGATTGTAAATTGTGTTCATAGGCTCGCATTTGTCCGTGCAAACCATCTTCCAATTCTCTGTCGTAATCTTCCTTTTTTTCTACGTAGTTTAATTGTCTGCTTTCTTCCAATTGTTCTTCCCAAGTTGAATAGTCACATTTTACGGAGAGCATCCATCCTAATGGAGGTTTCATCGACTCTTCGATTTCATCATCGATGTACATATCTGTGGATTTCCGACTCCGAGTTGTTAGAAGTTTCATTGCCGACAGTAAACACATATCCACCTCACATGGTAATGCATTCATATGGCTTGGAAGATATTTTTGGTATATCCTCAAGTACCGTCGTAACTGGTAATATGTATTTTCTACCAGTACTTTCCATGCCTCGACGTGTTTCACTTTTTCAAAGGTTGACGTCGACGTTAACACCTCGAAATAGTCTGCCAAAGTGGTGACAGCTTCTTCTATGTCTTTGAACATTTTTGAATGAATTTAAAATTTTTTAGATGGGACTCTTTGTCCTCTTTTCAAAACTATGTATATATATTTTTTTTTTTTATTTGGGACTTCTGTTGTCCTCTTTTCGTTTTATTTTTATTTTTGCCCCTATGGCTTTTTTTTTTTGTTTTTGCCCCTATGGCTCTTTTTTTTTTATTTTGCCCCTATGGCTTTTTTTTTATTTTGCCCCTATGGCTTTTTTTTTTATTTTGCCCCTATGGCTTTTTTTTTATTTTGCCCCTATGGCTTTTTTATTCAAATTAGTCCCTTCGGCTATTTCAAAATGCCCCTATGGTCTTATATTTAAAATGCCTTAACGGACTTTGTTTTTTGTAGAAATTCTCCTCTATTTCTGGCGAATATCTATTTCTGCTTGTAGTGAGTCTCTTACCACTGGTGGGGGAAAACTCCTACAATTTTTTTTTACGGCCGCTAGTTATTTCCACTTTATAAAAAAGTGAAGGCTCGATTGACCATATGTAAGCGGGAGAAGAGAAAAACACGACCGTATCGTATGTGCGTTATTTCAATTCTGTTTTGGATCCTGCTCGGAGGATCAATGTTTTTAATGATAAGAATATAGTCCAATCTCCCTCTTCGACTGTCAACTCTATTCTGTGTTCACTGAGAAAAGAAACACGACCGCTTCGTTAGGGTGTTATTTCAATTCTAATTTTATTTTTAAAATATGTTCCTTACGTACTACTGAAACTAATCTAACTTAACCTAGTCGCAGCCACACAATTGTTCTTATCTATTATTAGATTTAAAAGAAACATTGCATGGGTGCTTGTCCCTTCATTCAAGTGGTCTTGGCTATCCACTGTACGCATCGATACTGTGTGTGTGGGTCATGACCTTTATTATCTTACACATTATCGTATGCGACAGCGCACAAGATCACTTAATTCTACACATGTGATATTTTATGACCGCTGGGAAACTGATAATTTGGAAATATTTATTTTTAATTGTTGGATTTTCCCAGCGCCTCAATCTCACTCAAAAGTATGTACAAAGTATTTTGTACAAATGGTATTGAACTCTTTTGGTGGAGGTGCCGGAAAGAGTGGACCGATATATTCAAATATTTTGCATATGTTACTAGGTGTAGCTAACACAAAAATATTAGGATTTTCTAGGTTTAAAAGTGTTCTCTGATTTTACATTTTCCGAGAGTTATTATTCAGAAGGAGTGGACCTTAATAAACATCTCCGATTTTGGTAAACATATGACGATGTACCAAGTTTTGATTATGTACCAAATACGACTGAGGTTATACAAATGTTGATCTATTCACCTAGATTTGAAGGGACTATATCACCTCCTGTTTTTGACCACATTTTCCCACGGGATTCGCTATATTTTTTTCTTAGTGAAATATTTCGATATTTTAATATACCTTTGGTATAATATCCATGTAACGGTGTTTTCCATTTTCACGTATTTTGAAGGCACGCAAGGTAAAGGCAATCGAGGGCAACTTGGCCGTAGTTTAGTATTAGGGGTTACCAATGTGTCACTGGGTCCGTCTGCATTACCGCAAGGCCAAAAATGATGAAAAATACTTAAATGTCTTCTGCAACAACACAAAAACCAAAAAGTGCTAGGGAGTAGTAGAATGTCCTGTATTTCGAGCAAAAGTCAGTTTTCAACACTAATTCGGACTTATTTTTAGATATTTTTATTCCTTTATGTTGAAGGGTAACAATAATTAGACCCGGTCCTGGCTACAAAGGGTATATATCATTTGATACAGTCAAAACGTGTCTAGTCGAAATAACGGTTTTAGACCCTAGGTCTCTTTGGATCAAATCCGTTTCAGGACATTTTGAGTCGATCTAGCGATGTTCGTCCGTCCGTCTGTCTGGCTGGCTGGTGCGCACGATAACTCTCGAAGGTAATATCCAATTTGGTCCAAACTTGATACATTAAGTTTGGACTTAGAGCGAGTTCGGAGATGAGCAATATCAGTCCACTCCTTCTGGTACACCCCCCCTCCCCCACAAAATGTCAAAATTTTCAAAGAAAATATTTTATTGCACAGAAAGAGAAAGGAGGATTCGATTTTGCTCTAACTTTGCAAATCATAATATTTCCATCAGTGCTAAGTCAGGTGCGAACATGGATAATATCTGTCCACTCCTTCTGGTACGTCCCCCACAAAGGATCAAAATTTTGAATAAATATAACTCTTATAAAATGTGATGTAAGAGTCCGGTTGTCTTCAAATTTCACTCATCCCAATAATTTTATAAACTCAAGATTTGCTGCTAAGATGTAATACATCGGTCCATTCCTTCTGGTACCTCCCCCACAAAAGGTCGAAATTTTGAATACCCATTAAGCTCATAAAACGCGAAATTAACATTCGATTCCATTTAGACTTAACACATCTGAATATTTCTATCAACACAGGATCTGTTATAAAAATGGTAGAGATCGGACCACTCCTCGTGGTACCTCTCCTACAAAGGGTCAAAAATTTGAATATCCGTGAAGGTCATAAAACGCGAAATAAGCATTAGGTTCTCTTTATACACAAATTTTCAAACTTCACACTGACAAACATTTTTGTTGATACAAGATCTGTTGTGAAGATGATATATATCTGCGAACCCCTTCTGGGTTTCGCGGACTTGCGAAACAAGTCCGCGATTCTTTACAACTTGATATGCCTAAATATTTCTCTCACCCAGATTCCTGGTATGAATATGGAATTTATGATTTGGCATAAAATTTGATATAAATGTTCGATTTTCTTGTAATTTTGCCCATACCAATATTTTTATATGTATTAGATGAAACATGAAAACAGAATACTTCGGTCGACTATATCTGGTACCTCATGCACATTTTAACATTTTCTAAAAAAAATGATCACATATCTCATATAAAGTGAAGGGATTAGCCAATATATGCAGAACCTGTCACGTCGGCATATTTATATAAGTCCGATATGAAATGGACAATATTAGCTCATTTCTTCGGAACCTACTCCATAGAGGGTCAACAATTTGAAAAATAATAACAAAAGTCAAATATCTTTAAGTAATTGAGCATTGGCTGAGGGCATACATGAGTCGGCTAAACCGACTGATACTTTTCTTTTACTTGCTCTTGTAGAACATGGTCAATATAGAATATATGGTCAATATATAATTCGCTCTACAAGAGAGAAGAGCCTTTAAACTTATAACTTATCTATGAAAAAGTACAAAAGATATATTTGCTGATAATATAGTCTTATTTCCTAGCGAACATAAAATTCCCCCATTTAATTGCATTTCAAATAACCCTGAACTTTCGATTTCTTGGCAATCAGTTTGCAAGATTAACATCTTATCTCCACATCGATATGATAAGAATCTTCATCAGACGACACTCCACTCTGTATCGAGTATATAAATCAATGTCATTTCTTATTTTAAAATCAATCAAGTTTAAACTGCAACAACATCCAACCAAACCATTCAGTCCAGTCGCAAGCACAGCCGGAACTATTTTCATTGTCGTCATCATGCGCTACTTCAGTAAGTTGTCCAAGTCCAAGTTGCATGGCAAGCAAAGGAGGCAGATCAACTAAGGCAATTTTCTTTTATTTCATTTGCTCGCATTCACACAGATATCCTTCTGCTGGTGGTCGGAGTTTGGGCCAGTCTTGGCTGGTGTGACCGCGGCAATATCGAAACTACCAGTTTCAATGGTCGTCCCGGCTGCAAGACCCAGGGGGAGGTCGGTAATGTTTATGCGAATTTCTTCGATTCGACACGTTATTGGCGTTGTCTGGCAATTGGTGTTGATGCCGTTTCACTGCGCTGTCCCAATGGCTATGGCTTTCAACCGAAATTTAAAACTTGTGTCTCGTTTGCATCTTGGCAATGGGAAATTGCCCAAATGCCACCAAGTTGTCCTGATTTCGAAGTGGAATGCATACCAAATTTGGTGGTTTAGATTTCACCTCAAAAAAGTGTGGAAAATTTTAATGTGTTTTTTTTATAATTTGTATAATATTTTTAATGGTGTCTTCAAGAAATAAATACTGTTGTTAAATAAAAAAAGTTAATTGAAACCCATTATGATTGATATCCAATAAATAATATTGACAGAACTTTCAAAAATATCTTGCACAATACTATAAATATTATAACTTTTGAGAGGCCTTTAGATAGGTATTTAGATGAATATATAGATAAAGGGTGAGATGAAAAAAATGCAACCAATTTCAGACTGCTGTCATTTCTAAGCCACTCGTCCGACAGCTGTTAAAATTATTCCAGTGACAGCTCATTATATTGTTTACAAGCGTTCAAAAGCCTTTTGGTAAGAATTTTCTAGAAAAAAAAGTTATTCGTGATGGAATTCAAGCGTGACAGTGTGATTTTTTTTTGTATTTGGTTGGAAAACCACAAGTGGCTATCGTTAGAACATTTAAATGTGAAAAAATCTTCTCAAGGAAGTGATCGAAAGAAAATACAAAATCATCAGAAATGGTTCGAAAAGTAAAGAATCGACTTGATTGAAACCCGCGTTATAGTGGCCGAAAAATAGCTGGTGAGCTGAACATATCGCAATATTCTATTCGGCAAATATTGAAAAATAAGCTCGGGGTAGAGCCATTGACATTCCAAAAAGTGCAAGAACTTACAACGCAACAGAAAGAAAATAGACTCAAAAGAGCTAAAGAGTTGCTTCGCTTGGCCGAATTTGGTTATCTCCGATGAGAAAACATTCGTTGTCCAGCAGTTTGTAAAGAAACTAAATGATCGTATTTACTTGCCAAAGAGGTCAGCTGAAAACGTGCACCTTCGATTGGTCAACAGAACTCAAGCGCCAGTCATGGTGAGGGTAGGGGCTGCCATTATAGCCGATGGTCGCTCATTTTAATCGTCCGTGGCATCAGAATAAATGCCGAATAATATTGCGAAAATATTCTAGAGGATGTATTAAAGCCTTGGGCACGCAAACATTTCCAACAGGACTCAGCACCAACGCACTCAGCACGCGCCACCCAAGAATGGTTAAAAAATGAGGTTCCTCGCTTCATTTGCAGTGCACAATGGCCACCAAAACTTCCGGATACCAATCCGTTGGACTATTGTTTCTGGAGTATTTTGAAAAGCAAGGTTGGTACTTAAAAATACCAAAGTGTCGCTTCGCCGGGAATGGGGCAACATTCGGGCAGCGTGTGACGGTTTCATTGGCCGTTTCAAGGCCATAATTCGTGGCAAAGGTGACAAATTCGAACAAATCTAAACTTATTCTAAAATTTTAAGCTATTTCCGACATTTTTTGCTTTCATTCAATAAAATTTAAAAAAAAGTAAGAATTATGGCGTATGACTTTGTTTTCGTATCTCTCCCTGTGGTACTTATATCCAAAAACAGCTACTTCTTTCAACCATAGGCAGCAATAGCGACATCAATATCAAATTTCAGCTCTATTGCTTCACCTAATACCAAATTTTGTACTACTTAAGCAGTCCCATATCTCAATACCAAAAAAGACCTCAATATCAAACTTTGGGTTTACAGCTCTATGTCTTCCCCGAAAACCTACTTTAGTACAACTTAGTAAAATTCCCAAAATCACCCCCATATCCCAATTCCAGCTACCAACAGAGACTTCAATAACAAATTTGAGGATTTCTGCCTATCCCTATTATCCCATACAAAATTTAGTACCACTTATTACTTTTCGTACAAAAATAGGAGGCATTTCCAAACCACCGCCAAACCTAAAAATCAGATACCATCAGTAATCTAAATATCAAATTTGATGAATTTATCTCTATACCTTAGCTCAATACCAAATTTAGTATTTTTCGTACAGTTTTAGTATACATCTCCGAAACAACCCCCATATGTCCAGGCTACACATGAACCGCGACTCTAATACCAAATTTCACATTTCAAGCAGTATATGTTCGCCCAATTCCAAATTGTACTAAACATAGTACGATCTAGTCCTTTTCTTGTATTTGCAGCACACATTTTTAAAACAACCTATTTTTCACAAACCTATCGTCAGCAGGGACTCAAATACAAAATTTAAAAATTCCAGCTTCAGCCGTTCATCCTAAATTAAACTTTTCCAAATTTAGTACGATTTTGTACTTTTCGTATAGTAATTGTATACATTTCCGAAATTGATTCTCATACCAAATTTCAAGTTATTAGCTCTATCCTTTCAATAATACCAAATATTTTAGAAGTTGTGTACCATTTTAAAACTTTTTGTAACCTTAAAGTTCAATTTTTCCAAAAACCCTTTGCTGCATCTATCCTGCACTCCATAAGTGACTTATTCCGTTTGTCAATTACAAAGTATTCAATTTTTAGTACTTTTCGTACACTTTTAGTACGAACTGGCTGACCCACGTTCAAAAAGTTTCAAGGTCCTAGCTTCAGCCGTTATATTTGGGCGATGATTATTAGTCAGTCAGTCAATTGTTTCACTACTCTTTTATATATTTTGTATTTTTGAAAATTCGTAAATTTGTGAAGGTTGAACCCCATGAAATGGATTCAAAATTCATATGTATGTATGTGCTGGATAGTTTTACCCATGTTGTGATTTTCAACGTTTTGTGCCTAGCCTGTCTAATCCCTTTAGATTTCCGCTTCCTTATTTCTCTATCTCTAGGAAAGAGATGAAGACAAATATAAACACCGCATAGTAGCGGAGGCATATTTTCATCTCTACAGAAATAAAAAAAAAACAAATTTTCCATGTAAAAAATAAATTCTAAAACCCCTTAAAAAAAAAACAAACAATCCAATAAAGATAAGTTAAAATAAACAAATCTCCATGTAAGAATGACAACAACCTATAAAAGCGGAGGTGTGTCTTTGTAGAAAAGAAATCAACAACAAAACAGCAGAAAGTTCCGCAACACCTCTCAAAACTAAAATTTACAGAAATGCATTCACAAATCGCTGTGGCCCTAGTTCTCATCGCCTTTGCCGTCCTGTGTCAAGGACAAGGTAATCCTCTATTTACGGGACAACCTGGTTGCTTAACCCAAGAAGAGCTTACCGTCGGAGTCTATCGTCATTTTCGCAATACCCGTGCCTATTGGCGATGCCAAGTTCTAGGAGTCGCTGCCATTTTCGAGCTGTGTCCCCAAACTCATAAATTTTTGGATACCGTCAAAGAATGTGTTCCCTGGAATCAATGGGTTTGGACACCAACTGTTGCTCCACCAAGTTCACCGGTCGTTGTTGTGTCACAATTACCGGTATTCAACCAGCAGTAGAATTCATTGTACTAAGAAATAAATGAAATACACGAGTTATTGGATTTTATTCATAAACGGTTTGTTGTTGTTTTTTTTTAATTTAAAATTTCAACATTGTTTGCACTTTTGAAAACAAAATCATTTTGGACGAAACCGATTTTTTTTAATTTAACCGTTGCTGTGGATATATTGGAATAGGGGGATTTATCATACAGGGTTGCCCATATTCGACGGACCCATGACTCTTTGGGCCCATTCCAATCGACGAGGCTTGTCCGCAGGCAACATTCTTTGCGTCAATTGAATTTTGTACGGGAACAAATGCAAATCAATGCGAATAATCCGTTGTAAAGTGGACCGAGCCAAGCCCAACTGCTGAGAACGGCGTTTTTGGGATGTTCTTGGGGACCTCTCAACACTGGCTCGTACGGCAGCGATATTCTCGGCCGATCGCCTTGGTCGACTTTTATATGGCCTCTTCGGATTAGAAAGAGCCTTACCAGTCGAAAATTTTTCGTATAAACGCTTAATGGTGTTCTTGGAAGGCGCACTTCTCACATTTTTTAATGTTTTAAAATCACGTTGAGTTTTTACAATTGACTTCTTCTGTTGAATGTAAATTTCAACTATTTCGCGTGGCGTGTATTGGTTCATGGTAAAAATCTGCTTGGACTGACGCTTCAAACGCGGTATGTCATTAAGCGATGTGACATCTCTGTCAAAAGTTATGGCGTTGCCAGATGGGTCCGTCGAATATGGACAACCCTGTATATTCTGATACCAAAAGGAGTGTACTGTGTTTGCCCATTATCGCAGTGTGATTCAAATATTATAAATTGAGAAATTTGGACCAATTCAAAATTTTTCCTTCGCTTCCTATGTGATCTATTATTTATTTTTGGTATGAATATTAGAATTTGTAAAATTTTAAGAATTTTGTATTTTACTACAGATATTGGAAAATGAGAATGTATGAGAAGGAGGGGTCTGTTTATATTTGATATGTATACTCCGTTTGCTTTTTGTGAAATATATACGCTCAAATTTCATAAGACGAAAAAAACTTTTCGACATAAGAGCAAAGTACATAGTACTTCTTAGCAAGAATTAAAAAAAAAACTGCAATATCTTGTGTCCCGCGCCTTTAATGAACAACATGAAAAGCTTCAAAGCTTTAAAAGCAAAAAATGATAGACACTTTCTAAAACTTTCATGTACTGTTTTGGTACAACTTTCTAAAAAATTACCATCATCTTTTCAATACCAATATTGGCATGTACGAAGAAATTACTAGATAGTACCTAGGATTTTGAGCCGTTTACACGAAGAGTAACACTCATGGCAAATATTTGAACCCTTACTCTACTCCTTCACATAGAGTACTTTTAGGCCAATTTGAAGGTTCCAAAAAGGACGGATTGTATACTCTTAGCCATATGGCTACAGAGGGTAAATATCATTTGATACCGCCCAAACCTGCCTACTCGACATAACGGCTTCAAACCCTGGATCAAATCCGTTTCAGGACATTTGGAGTCAATCTAGGGGTGTCCGTCTGTCTGGCTGGTTCGCACGATAACTCTCGAATGGAGTATCCGATTTGATCCAAACTTAGTACCGCATAATATTATTGCCAAACTTAGATCGAATTCGGAGGTGGGCAACATAAGTCCACTCCATCAGGTACCTCCCACAAAAAAGTTAACATTTTAAGAGAAAAAAATTGCATAGAATAACAAAGGATCATCCAATTTTGTGCAAATTATGCAAATCCCAATATTTGTGACAGTGTTATGTCAGATGCGAAAATGGAAAATATCGACCCACTCCATCATGTACCTCCCACAAAAAGGTTTAAAATCTTAAATATTTATAAACCTTATAAAAAACATCCGATTCTCTTCAAATTTCACACAATATTTTTATTAACACAATATCTGGTGTGAAGATGGGATATATCGGCCCACACTTTGTTGTACCTCCCCCACAAAGAAGTTAACATTTTGAATAATTATGAAGCTCATAAAACGCCGAAATGAGCATCCGATTAAGCGAAGTTTCAAACCCCTTGCATTTTTTATCTTCCCTATCCGACGAGTAATCTACACGCAAAATTTAGAAGTTGATTTATAACAACATTGTACTATTAGTACTTAGTACCCTTAGTACTTTTTGCAGAATAAAGTACATATTTCGAAAAATACTGCATTATCCCACTTTTCTCATACAATTTTTCGAAGTTTTTACTCTTATTTTCCTGAATCTTCACTTTTCCATTTCCATGAATACGGTATTATATGCATATCGCTTATTTACTCAAAGAGTAGCATATCTACAGATATCAACATTTCTCATGTTGATTTCTGTAGAACTCAATGAATCACTTTTTCACTTGGATTTTAACTAAAAAACGGTATATTGCGTTTATAAAGCACTTTTATTACCACAATTTTACAAAAGAAATTCCTTTAATGGGGTTTAGCAAATCTTTTTCAAGATTTTATTGTCCCGAACCTTCAGCAGCAGCAGCAGTGGGTGCGACGGGGGAACTTGGTGGAGCAACGGTTGGTGTCCAATACCACTGAGCCCAGGGTACACATGCCTTGGCCTCATCCAAAAATCCACTCAAAAGTGGACAAAATTCCAATGTAGCTGATTCACCCAAAACACTGCATCTCCAATAGGCACGCTTATTACGGAAATGGCGATAAACACCAACAGATAACTCCTCTTCGGTCAGGCATCCTGGTTGTCCGGTAAACAAGGGATTTCCTTGCGCTTCAACTTCAATCAATGCCACAAGGGTCACAAAAACAACAACTAAGGCGACAACGAATTTCATATCGATATATTTGAATATAATTTCTCTGTGGGAATATTGTTAGGCTTAAAGTTTTGATTTCGACTGATATCGTTGCGGACACACCTTTGTTTTTTATAGTTTCCAAAATAGAGGAGTGTTATTTGTGGGTGGTTGTTGTTTTCTTTGGGTTATCTTTATGAATTTGTTTATTTACTTTTTACACGTGAGTCGTTGCATCCGCAACCTCGTTTGATCTGGAAAATCCCATGTAAAAATATTTGCAGTTACAACGATGGTAGAAAGAAAAACAACATTACAATTGAAAACAAGAGTGTAACTAACCATTTACTGTAGATCAACGGGTAAATAAAGAATTAGGATTTAAAATTTATTACCGGCAAAAAGTTAACAGCTATTCGTTAATTAAATTTTTGTAATCTTGGCTTGGTAACAAATTTTGTAAAAATAAATATATATTGTTTTTTATTTTATGAGAAAAAACACGATATTAATAATTTTTATAGTTCAAAATTATTAAATAAAATAATATTGAATTGATATTTATCAAAAGTACCTTGTGTTAGTATAGAAATATTTCGAAAGCTTTAATGGACTTATCAAAGGATATGCCCTAAGCATTACGAGTATACAAAATATGAACGAAAATTATTGTATTATTTAAAAAGTACAAAAAAATCTCTTTTTTAAGAAATTCATTTATATTTACGATTTTTTGCCAAGAGGCTTTAAAATAAATGTTCTTGCAAAATAAGAAAAAAAACTATTTTTGGTATGAAGAAGTTCAATAAATTTTTTTATTATAAAGATTTCCGGCTAGTAACCCTCAAAAACACTTTTAAAAATATTATGATATATTTTTTACCCCTTTACCTTGAAAAGGGGGGTATATTATATTTATAATTCCGTTTGTAACATCCCTAAATATTCGTTGTAGATCCCATAAAGTATATATATTCATAATCAGCATAAAATTCTAAATCGATTTAAAGATGGTATTCGTAGTTCATTATAGGTTCTGGCTCCGGTGGCGGTACAAGCCCCATATAATGATACCTTCCGATATTCGCTATTTTGATGAATGTAGCATTTACTTTTCTTCACGGATTTGTCTTAAAATTGGTGTTTGTAGTTCGGAATGGAACATCGTATATATAGGTTCACGTTTTCGTATAGCCTCCATATAACGGTACCTCCCGATATTCTGTGTACATTTCTCCACATTTCTCCACGGATTTGTCTAAAAATTGGTATTTGTGGTTCGCAATGGTTTTATCTTCGGTAGCGAGACATTGTATATACAGGGTGAGATAAAAAACTGCAACTAATTTCGGACTGTCGTCATTTCTAAGCCACCCGTCCGATAGCTGTTAAAATTATGCCAGTGACAACTCATTATATTGTTTACTAGAGTACAAAAGCATTTTGGTGAGAATATTCCAAAAAAAGTTATTCGTAATGGAATTTAAGCATGACTGTGTGATTTCTTTTTATTTGGCTGGAAAACCACAAGTGGCTATCGTTAGAGCGCTCCAGCATTTAAATGTGAATAAATCTTTTGTGTTTCGTACCATCGCTCGTTACCGTGATACTAGTAGCGTAGCCCGACGTCAAGGAAGTGGACGGAAGAAAACAGCAACATCAGCAGAAATGGTACGAAAAATAAAGAAGCGACTTGATCGAAACCCGCGTCGTGACCTGAACATATCGTAATATTTCATTCTATTGAAATTCCAAAAAGTGCAAGAACTTACACCGCAACAGAAAGAAAATAGACTCAAAAGATCTAAAGAGTTGCTTCGCTTGGCCGAAGTGGTGAACTGCGGAATTTGGTTTTCTCCGATGAGGAAACATTCGTTTTCCAGTAGTTTGTAAGCAAATAGGTCAGCTAGAAATGTACACCTTTGGTTGGCAAACAGAACTCGAGCGCCGGCCATGGTGATGGTGTGGGCCGCCATAACAACCGATGGTCACTCTCCGCTCGTATTAATCGACCGTGATATCAGAATAAATGCCGAATATTATCGCGATAACATTCTGGAGGGTGTATTAAAGTCTAGGGCATGCAAACATTTTGGCCGCAGAGCTTGGACATTCCAACAGGACTCAGCACCATCGCACTCAGCACGCGCCACCCAAGAATGGTTACAAAATGAGGTTCCTCTCTTCATTTCCAACGCACAATGGCCACCAAAATCTCCGGATACCAATCCGTGGGACTATTGTGTCTGGAGTATTTTGGCAAGCAAGGTTGGCACTAAAAAATACAAAAGTGTCGATCACCTCAAGCAAGCGCTACGCCGGGAATGGACCAAAATACCGCAGAACAACATTCTGGCAGTGTGTGACGGTTTCATTGGCCGTATGAAAGCCATAATTCGTGTCAAAGGTGACCAATTCGAACAAATCTAAACTTATTCTAAAATTTGATGCTATTTCCGACATTTTTTGCTTGCATTCAATAAAATTAAATAAAAAATGTAAAAATTATGGCGTTTGATTTTTTTGCTGTTCTCACCCTGTATACGTATGTCCAGAGGGATGGTCCGATCCCTACCATCTTTATAACAGATCTGGTGTGGATGAAAATATTGAGATATAGCAAGTCTGAAGGGAATCGGTTATTAGTTTCTCGTTTATGAGCTTCATGTGTACTCATAATTTTGACCCTTTGTGGGGGGATACGAGAAGGTGTGGACCCATATATCCCATCTTCACACCAGACCTTGGGTTAATAAAAATATTGGGATGTGTTTAATTGGAGACAATTGGACTATTTTATTACATTTAATAGGAGTTATAATTATTCAAAATGTTGACCCTCTGACCCATTTCGCACCTGACCTAGCACTGATGCAAATATTTGGATTGGCATAGTTGGAACGAAATCGGACATCGCTAGATCTACTCCATATGTCCTGAAATGGGTTTGGTCAAAAGAGACCTAGGGTTATTTCGATGAAGCACGTTTTGACCGTATAAAATGATAAATACTCTCTGTAGCCATATGACTGATGGTATAATAAATTGACGATGCATGTAACAAAAATAAAAAACCTAAGTGCTTTAAGCCTGTGATAATCATATATTTGTCCCGCCGCACCAAATTTATGCCTTTCCGGTTATTACATTGTTATAACAGACAATTGACCAATTGCTTTTCCAATTTCTACCGCATTTCATCAATAGAACAAACACAACTCTTGTAATTTCTAAATAATTACACTCAAGTGTATTGTTTGCTATTGTCTCTGTTGGACAGACCAAAACATATGCATTTCCAATAATGTAACACCGCATTGTATTACATATACACACATACATATGTAATCGGCTTGATATCTTTATTTTCTGTGTGGTTAGCCATTAACTTGCTTCATTATTATTGTCATTTCTTATCGGCTTTTGGACGGTAGGTAATTTTGAAAATTTGTCGAGATTATAATCTAAGCGTAGAGCAAATAAAGAAATGTTAACTATTTTTATTTATTTGTCGTCGTCATTGTATGTGTGTGTGTGGGTATGTGTGTGTGTTTGTGTTTATGAATGGCTGGTGGTTGATTGGCCAAAAGAATTTGGCCGTAAGTAGTTTTAATTAGGCCACTTTAGGTGATTAACTGCTATGCACATTGGTATTTCAAGGTGTGGTTGTGTGTGTGTTTCGTTCTCTGCTCTAGGTGGCAAAAGGTTAAGTTTAATTATATTTTAATGTAAACATTTTTATCTCCTAAACCGAGAATAATGGAAAACCACCTTTTAAACTGATTGATGTGGTTTTCGAGGTTGTGGTGTGGTTTTTGGTGGAGTTGATGTTAGGAAATTTTTGACAAAATATTTAAAATGTTTGCAGTGTTGTGTGTCGTTGATGTGTTTGGCGGTGTAACCAAATGGTTGGGAAATGAGGAAATTAGGAAGTTATTAGTTCATGAGAAAAATCTACATAACAGACTTCTAAAAGTTGGGTTAATATTTTCAACATACATTATATTAGGTCCACATAAACCAACCAAGAAAAACAAAGAAAACTGAGTAAGCAGGAAAACAATCTGCAAGGTGAGATAAAAAAAACTTCCATAATTTTTACATTTTTATACCCTCAGCCATATGGCTACAGAGGGTATATACAATTTGATACGGTCAAAACGTGCCTAGTCGAAATAACGGCACGAAATTGGACCAAATCCGTTTGAGAACATTTGGAGTCGATCTAGCGATGTCCGTCCGTCAGTCTGTCTGGCTGGCTGGTGCGCACGATAACTCTCGAAGGGAGTATCAGATTTGGTCCAAACTGGGTACATCGTAATATTTTTGTCAAATTTCTTCGGAGATGGGCAATATCGGTCCACTCCTTCTGGTACCTCCCCCACAAAAGGTCGAAATTTTCAATTTTTTTTTGCACAGAAAGAGAAACGATAATCCGATTTTGCTCCAACTTTGCTAATCCTAATATTTGCGTCAGTGCCAGTTCTGGTTTAAAAATGGACAATATCGGTCCACTCCATCAAGTACCTCCCTCACAAATGGTCAAAATTTTGAATAATTATAACTCTCATAAAATGTGATGTAAGAGCCCGATTGTCTTCCAATTTCACACATCCCAAAATTTATATTAACCCAAAGTCTTTTGTTAAGATGGGCAAAATCGGTCCACGCCTTCTGGTACCTCTCCTACAAATGGTCCAAATTTTGCAAAAAAAAAAAAAATCTGCACAGAAAGGGAAGCAATAATCTAAATTTACTCTAATTTTGCAAATCCTAATATTTGCGTCAGTGCTAAGTCAGGTGTGAAAATGGACAATATCGGTTCACTCCTTCTGGTACCTCCCCCACAAATTTAATGTAACATTTCGATTGTCTTCAAATTTCACACATCCCAATATTTATATTAACCCAAGTTCTTGTGTTAAGATAGAATATATCGGTCCACTCCTTCTGGTAGAGATCGCACCATTTCTTTTGCTACCTGCCCCACATAGGGTTCGCTTCTTTACTTTTCGAACCATTTCTGCTGATGTTGCTGTTTTCTTCCGTAAACTACCACGACGTCGGGCTACGCTACCAATATCACGGTAACGAGCGATGGTACGAAACACAAAAGATTTGTTCGCATTTAAATGCTGGAGTGCTCTAACGATAGCCACTTGTGGTTGTCCAGCTAAATATAAAGAAATAACACTATCACGCTTGAATTCCATCACGAATAACTTTTTTTCTGGAATATTCTCACCAAAATGCTTTTGTGCGCTTGAAAACAATATAATGAGCTATCACTGGAATAATTTTAACAGCTGTCGGACGAGTGGCTTCGAAATGACAGCAGTCTGTAGTTGGTTGCTGTTTTTTCATCTCACCCTGTATATTTTATTGTATTTTTCACGTTTTGAGTACAACAAACAATTAATGCATTCTGTTGTCATGAAAAGAAACGGCTGAAGATTTACAAACCCCCTGACATGGAATATTACAGATTATTATTGCGCTCAACAACAAGATAAAACCCCTATCTATTCAGGTCAACAAAAACAACAGCTGAACTATAAAAAGATGTAACAAATTTGCAACTGGCATCAGTTTTCCTACAACTCTTTAATCGAATCGAACGAATTGCAGTAGAAAGAAAAAACCCATCTCGTCCAAAATGAAAGTATTCGCCATAGTATTGATTGTCTTTGCCATCATTGCCGTGTCATTGGCCCAAGTTCAAGACCCAACTGATCCCACATATACCGGACAACCAGGATGTTTAACTGAAGAGGAAGTAACGGTTGGACTTTATCCTCATTTCCGCGTAAAGAGAGGCTACTGGAGATGTTCAGTGTTGGGTCAGCCTGCCACCTTGGAATTGTGTCCCGTTGCTCAAGGATTCCTAGAAGCTGCGCGTGCCTGTGTTCCATGGTCTCAATGGTATTGGACACCCACTGTTGCCCCACCAAGTTATCCAGTTGCTGATGTCACCGATGTTCCACCTCAGTAGATTTTGGTTGATCGTGCTTACCTATTTTCTCATATTCGGCTTTAGGGAAATAATGGAAATTGTTTTCTAAATTTGTGATCTGAAATTTCAAAGTGATTTTGTTGATATTTAATTTTTTTGTTGATATTTGATTTATTTTATAGTTTACAAAAATTGGCTTCATGTAATATTTATTGTTCTTTTTAATGAAATTTAAATAAAAAAAAAACTTAAAAACCACAAAAATCTTTTTGCTTGTACATTCTGTTTCAAAACCTATGAACACTTCCTAATCTATGAATTTTCAAAGGTTCTTAACAATTCCAATTTTGAAAATAATTGAAATACAGGTATTCTATAGACTTCCTGGTGCTCGGCAATATTTACCTGTAGGCTTTTAGCTTGTCAATATTGACCAGAGGGGTTTCAACTCCTGAATAATGATCGTCAATATTGACCAAAGGGATTGTAACTCGTCAAACACCACTCGGCTCACAGCTCGTCAATATTGGCAAGCTGGACTACAGATCGTCAGTATTAACCTCTGATCCTTGAGCTCGTCAATATTGAGCAGAGGGTCTTCAGCTCTTTAATGAACCTGGCCCACAGCTCGTCAATATTGACCAGTAGGTCTTAAGCCCATAATATTGACTCGAGCCTTCAGATTATCCATATTGATCAAAGGGCCTTCAACACGTCAACATTGACCAGCGGGCTTTAGCTCGTCTAAATTGACTTACCGTCCTTCAGCTTCCCAATATGAACCTGCTGGCCTTTAGCTAGTCAATATTGACCAGTAGGTCTTATGCCCGATAATATCGATCATTGGGCCTTCATTACCTCAACATTGACCAGCGGAGTTTTAGCTCGTCAATATTGACAAGCTGGACTTGAGCTCGTCAATACTAACCTCCGATCCTTCAGCTCTTCAATATGAACCTGCTGGCATTTAGCTCATCAATATTGACCAGTAGGGTTTAAGCCCGTTAATATTGAACATTGGGCCTTCAGATCTTCCATATTGAACAACGGACATGCAACACGCTAACATCGACCAGCGGGCCTTAAGCCCGTCAATATTGACCAGAGGGCCTAGAGGCCATCAATATTGACCAGCGGGCCTTCAGCTCGTCAATATTAAACCATGAACATTCAGTTTGTCAATGTTGACAAGCGGGCCTTAGCTTCTTAATATTGATCAGCGGGCCGTTAGATCGCCAATATTGACCAATTTTCATTCAGCTCGACAATATATACCAGGGGGCCTTTGATCAATTCGTCAATATGGACCAGTGGACCTTTACCAATACTAGCCAGGGGTCCTTCAGCTCAACAATTTTGACCAGAAGGCTTTTAGCTAATCAAAACGGAATAGCTAGTTTTCAGGTAGTATATATTGACCAGCGGATCTTCAGCTCATAAATATGGACATCGGGTCTCAATCTGTCCGATATTAAGCACGACAATAGCGACCAGCGGACCCTCTATATTGACTACCTGCATTTCGTCTCTTCAATATAGAAGTGGGACTTTAGGTCGGTAATATAAATCATTATTGATCAAATGATGTTCAGATCTTTAATATTGTCTACCGGGCGTTAATTTCATCAACATTGAGTGATGTGCCTTCAGCTCTCTAGTTCGACCATTTGGTCTCCAGCTTCTAATGAAGACTCCTGACCCTCCTACTCATTTATGGTGACTCCCTGACCCTTCAGTACGTCTATGGAGATTCCCCGGCCCTTCAGCACGTCAATATTGACCAGCTGATTTCCTCTCGGTGATATTAAACAACTCGACAATATTGACTAGCGGGCCATCAGTTTGTTGATCACCTGGTATTTAGTTCCTCAATATGGACCAGTGGACCTTTACCTAGCCAGGGGTCCTTCAGCTCGACAATATTGACCAGCAGGCTTTTAGCTTATCAAAACGGAATAGCTAGATTACAGATCCAGCGGATCTTTACCTCATAAATATGAACCACCTCGTCTCCAGCTGTCCGATATTGAACTGGACAATGTTGACCAACGGGCCTTCTATATTGACTAGCTGCGTTTCGGATCCTCAATATAGACCAGCGGGCCTTTAGGTCGGTAATATAAACCAGCGGTCCTTTAGACCGTCAATGTTATTTAGGTGGTCTTTCGACATTATTGACCGAATGACGTTCACTTCGTCTATATTGTTTAGCGGTCCTTCAGATCTTCAATATTGTCTACCGGGACTTATTTCGTCAAAATTGAGCGATGTGCCTTCAGCGCGGCCAGCTCGCGGGTCTCCTGCTTCTCTACTTCCACCATTTGGTCTGCAGCTTCTATGAAGTCTCCTGACCCTCCAACTTATTTATGGTGACTCCCTGGCCGTTCAGTACGTCTATGGAGATTCCCTGGCCCTTCAGCACGTCTATGGAGGTTTCCTGGCCTCCAGATTGTTTAAGGAGTCTCACTGGCCTCAAGCCGTCTTTACACGCTCCCGCTTCAGCTTATCTGTGGAGGCTTCCTGGGCTTCAGGTCGTCTGTGGAGTCTCCCTGGACTCCAGTTCATCTGTGGAGGTTTCCTAGCCTTCAGTTCATTTATAGAGGCTTCCTAGCGTTCATTAGAGTCTCCCTGACCTTCAGCTCGTCTTTAGAGGCTCTCCGACCCACCAGCTCATCTGTGAAGGTTTCCTGGCCTTCATTTCATCTATGGAGACTTCTGAGTGTATAGTCCGTCTATAGATGCTCTATGGCCCACGTCTATGGGGGCGTCCTGGCCCACCAGAACGTTTATGGAGATTCCCTGGCCCACCAGCACGTATCTCCGTAGGCCTCCAGCTAGTATAGAAAAACTTCCATCTAGTCTACGGAGACCAAGTGGACCTCAAACATTTTTATGGTGACCACTTGGTCTCTAGCTTGTCTTTGGTGACCTCTTGGTATTTAGTTCGTCCATGGAGGCTCGCTGGTCCTCCAGTTTTTTCTATGCAGACCCCGTGGCCTACTAGCTCTTCTATAAAGACATTCTGGTCCTCCAGCTTAAATAGGGAGATTTTCTGGCTCTCCAGCTAGCCAAAGGATTCACTGTGGTCACCAGGTCGTCTTTGGTAACCATATGGGCTTCAGTTCGCGCATGGATACTCCCTGGTCCTCCAGCTCATATATGGAGACAGTTTGACCTACCATATTGCCTAGGGTGTCTCATGGCTTTAATCTCATGGATTTTTGGCTAACTTTTGTATTTTGCGTATGAGTAAAAATTTTTGAATGAAGTGACTCAGAGTATATAATATTACCATAAAGATAATCTGCTATAATAAAATGTTAAGCAATTTTAGAAAATTATTATTTAATAGAACATCAAATATGTATCTATGATTATTCTCCAAGAATATCTTTCGCGGAATTCAAATATTTTATTATCGCTGAATCATGCAGACAAAATGTAGGCCACGCACTTTATCGTAATAATATATATAAACGCCTTTGGTAATCTCTACCAGCAACAGTTGACTGTTGAACTTCATTCACAAAGAAGCAGCATGAAAATCTTTACTCTCCTCGCTGTGCTTTTAGTTGCGATTTTGGCCTATGGCCAAGTACACGCTTATTTCGCCCCACAATATTCCGGACAGCCTGGATGTAAAACTAATGAGGAATTGACCGTTGGTGTCTATCGCCATTTCCGCAATAAACGAGCCTTCTGGAGATGTAGTGAAGTGGGTGTGGCTGCTACCATGGAACTTTGTCCATATAATCAAGGATTTTTGGAATCGGCCAGAGCTTGTGTCCCATGGTCTCAATGGACGTGGACACCAACAGTAGCTCCACCTAGTTTGCCATAAAATAAATGGATTTCGAAAATTTATTTTATTTCCGAAATAAAAAAAAATATTTTTAAAAATAAAGTAATTAATAAAGCAATTTGAGTTAAGATGATTTTCGAAAATGGCAGATTTTAAAATCGGGAGGAAGTTATTTAATTTATTGTAGCAATGGAGAGAAATATTTTTTTTTATTTCTACTGTTGCAAGGCTTAGTTTTATGTTTGCATTCTATGATTTCCGCAGCAAAGTTGACAAATATTTACTATTTTTAAATTTTGCAATTAATTTTGAATTATTTTTAAATTTAATTTATTTTATTTTTTTATATTTTTAATTTATTTTTTATTGTTTTTCCAGATATTATCCAGAAAAATTGGTAAGTCAAAATGTATGTTGATATTTATCTATGTTTAAATATTTCACTTCCATTAAACTTTTGACTTTTTTGATAAGGAAGCAAATATTTAGATTTGTCAGTGCAGTAGCCTGTGTAAAAATAATTAGTTTATGTTTTGTCGGAGAGTTGCAACAAAATGTCTTATCATCTCGAACATTGTTGGGTTTTCCAACATTCGTGCAATGTTCTGTGGTTTATAATAGGATAACTAATGCAAGCCAACAAATATTAAAGCAAAATGAGGAATAGGGTAATAAAATGGAAACACACATAGTAGAGCTAAATATAGAAGACACCTCTGAGGTGCAAGGTCTCCCCTCCTCCACATTTTTTGAAATTTTCGGGCTAAGATTCCTTGAGAACCGTAAATTTTAGGAACATAGTGTCTTCGGCAATTTTACAGCTAAAAATACAAGTATTATTTTGGTCGCAAATGTTAACCCTCATGCGAGTCGTCTTCTCCGTCTTTCAAAATATGGTTAAAAACTCCCATTAAACGAGATCGTTGCAAGATTCTCCAGCAAAAAGTCACACCCTAAAAATTCAGATTCGTTCAAACTGTTCGTGTAAGCATCCAACTTTCTCAAATGAAATTTTTGATTTCGCATAAAATTGGATATGAATTTTCGATTTTCTTATAATTTTGCCCATACCAATATTTTTATCTATATTAGATGAAGTATCAAAATGGAATGTTTCGGTCGACTATATCTGGCAGGTCACGCAGATTTTAACATTTTCTAAAAATTACCACATACAGGATGAGATAAAAAACTGCAACAAAGTCAAACGCCATAATTTTTACATTTTATTTAAAAAAAACAAAAAAATGTCGGATATAGCATAAAATTTTAAAATATGTTTAGATTTGTTAGAATTGGTCACCTTTGGCACGAATTATGGCCTTCAAGTGGCCAATGAAACCGTCACTCGCTGCCCGAATGTTGATCTGCGGTATTTTGGCCCATTCGCGGCGAAGGGCTTGCTTGAGGTGATCGACACTTTGGTATTTTTT